CGCCCTTAACGACCTTGTTGTGTAAAAATGTGGTGTTCAAATGGTCCACAGAGTGTCAGGCTGCCATTGAGTCTTTTAATCTCCTCCTGACTAGGTCTCCAGTTTTGTCTGCTCAGGACCTGAGCAGACCATTTAAATTAGAAGTTGATGCCAGTGGAACGGGTGCTGGAGCGGTGCTTCTACAAGATGATGATCAGGGGATAGAACACCCAGTTTGTTATTTCTCAAAGAAGTTCTTAAAACATCAGCTTAACTATAGTACCATTGAAAAGGAAGCGCTTGCCTTACTATTAGCCATCCAACATTTTGAGGTCTATCTTAGTGATAGTGCTAAACCCGTACATGTTTTTACTGACCATAACCCCTTAGTCTTTTTACACAATATGAGTAATTACAATCAAAGGCTCATGTGATGGTCTCTTATTGTGCAAGGGTTTAATTTATTAATTGCCCATAAGAAGGGTGCCCAAAATGTGATCACTGATACTCTATCCCGAACTTGATGTTATTGAGAGGTTGTTTTTGTTTTGTTTTTTGGTTGTTAGTGTTGTTGTGAATAATTTCAGGTTCACACTTAGGTGGGGAGGGTGTTACAAACCGCTATCTTGTGGGGGAGTTTTTTTGTGCTGTGACATTCAGTGTGCAGGTCCAAACTCCCTTCCAGACTTTCCAGCCTGCCTTGCTTCCGCCCCCTTGATGACCTCACTGATTGGCAGCCATTTGTAAGGAGGAAGATGGTGTGAGAATGTGTGGGATGTTGGAGGTGTTTAGTGTGTTGTTAGGAGATTGCTATATTTGTGTGCTTGCCCTTGTGACTAATGCTGTATTTTTGACTGCTGCCCTGGTTTTGAATTCTGCTTGGTTTTAATCAAACTGAGAGTCATCCCTAAATCTGTTTTGTATTCTCTTCACTTTTATTTACATATATATATATATATATATATAATGTGTGTGTGTACAATTGGTTCACTGGCAGTAGGGTTGTGGCTACCATTTATTTTGGGAGTGGGTTCCTTTTGTCTTTTTCTTTGCTTAGGTAGTTAGCTAAGAATATTTTGTATTTTCTTTTCTTTCCTTTTAGGTAAGCTAGTAACCTAATCATAGAGTTCTTTTGTTTATTATTTTGGCCTTGACCCACCCTGAAGATATACCTGTTCTGGTGAATTTGTATAGTTATATGTATATATTGTGTGATCTAATGAACCAGCTTGTTTTGTTGCTATTCCTGGCTCCCTCACTTACAATTTAAAGATCAATCAACTTGAATCCTGAGCTGTTTACTTTGTGTGTCCCAACCTAGACTGGGCCATAACACAGTCACTGACAAAACGTTCCCTCTGCCCAGAGAAGAATTAGTTGCGCCTGCCTGATCAGGGGGCATGGACATAATCCCCCTTGTGGTCAATAAGTGTTTGCCCCCTTCCTCATTTCCTGTTCCTTTGCATGTTTGTCACACTTAAGTGTTTTGGAACATCAAACCAATTTAAACAATAGTCAAGGACAACACAAGTAAACACAAAATGCAATTTGTAAATGAAGGTGTTTATTATTAAAGGTAAAAAAATCCAAACCATCATGGCCCTGTGTGAAAAGGAGTGGTTGCCCCCCCTTGTTAAAACATAATATAACTGTGGTTGTCCACACCTGAGTTCAATTTCTCTAGCCACACCCAGGCCTGATTATTGCCACACCTGTTCACAATCAAGGCATCACTTAAATAGGAGCTGCTTGACACAGTAAGGTCCACCAGAAGATCCTTAAAAGCTACACATCATGCCGAGACCCAAAGAAATTCAGGAACAATTGAGAAAGAAAGTAATTGATGAGCTATCAGTCTGGAAAGGGTTATAAAGCCATTTCCAAAGCTTTGGGAATCCAGCGAACCACAGTGAGAGCCATTATCCACAAATGGCGAAGACATGGAACAGTGGTGAACCTTCCCAGGAGTAGCGGCCGCCCAAAATTACCCCCAAGAGCGCAGCGACGACTCATCCAAGAGGTCACAAAAGACCCCACAACAACGTCCAAAGAACTGCAGGCCTCACTTGCCTCAGTTAAGGTCAGCGTTCATGCCTCCACCATCAGGAAAAGACTGGGCAAAATATGGCCTGCATGGCAGAGTTCCAAGGAGAAAACCACTGCTGAGCAAAAAGAACATCAAAGCTCGTCTCAATTTCTCCACAACACATCTTGATGATCCCCAAGACTTTTGGGACAACATTCTGTGGACCGATGAGACAAAAAGTGGAACACTTTGGAAGGTGTGTGTGCCAAGTATATCTGGCGTAAAAGGAACACTGCATTTCATAAAAAGAACATTATACCAACAGTAAAATATGGTGGTGGTAGTGTGATGGTCTGGGGCTGTTTTGCTGCTTCAGGACCTGGAAGACTTGCCGTGTAATAAAAGGAACTATGAATTCTGCTGTCTACCAAGAGATCCTGAAGGAGAATGTCCGACCATCTGTTTGTGTACTCAAGCTGAAACGAACTTGGGTTCTGCAGCAGGACAATGATCCTAAACACACCAGCAAGTCCACCACCGAATGGCTGAAGAAAAACAAAATGAAGACTTTGGAGTGGCCTAGCCAAAGTCCTGACCTGAATCCTATTGAGATGTTGTGGTATGACCTTAAAAAGGCCGTTCATGCTCGAAAACCCTCTAATGTAACTGAATTAGGACAATTCTGCAAAGATGAGTGGGCCAAAATTCCTCCAGGACGCTGTTAGAGCCTCATTGCACATTATCGCAAACGCTTGGCACTGTATGACCACTGCTGTGTTGTCTGTAAACACATGGTGACCTCTCAATTGAGGAAGAAGGAATTTCAGTGCTAGAAATATGGCCCACATTTCTAGGCAATTTATATGTCACTCCAGATGAGGGCCACTCCAGAGACTATGACTTGGACAGCTGTCTAAGTCCGTGCTCCAGCCCATGAGGGAGGCCTCTGTCATTACCACTTTGTGCTAAAGGAGACAGCCCTAGAGTGTGACCCAAGGCTAGAAACCGTGGACACTCAAATTCTTCGAGCACGTTTTACGTAGGCATCGCCGTGTGACACTGGTTACTCTCAGAGGTTTCATCCTTGGATGAAACCCCAAACTTCTCAGCTACCACTGAAACGGTCTCCCCCAATAGGACCAATGGTATGATGTTGGCTGCCCATCAGCTCCAATAGTCTCTCATAGAGACTGAAGAGGATGCCAAGATCCAGCTTTATCTTGTTCAATGTTGATAGAATTTACCCTGCTGTTTTTAGGGGATTTAAATCTAACATGGTGAGCAAATTATATTATAGAATTCAGGCAATTTTACTGGGGTTATCTCATACAGTGTGGCAAGTAATAATCAGGAAAGACATTTGTAATATCACAGTTTAAAACTGGATTTAAAGAGAAGCAAATCAGTAAATGAATTCCGGTTCCCCTGGCTGTCTGCAGGGGTTGGAGGGATTTACTTTCACTGTTGAGAAAAAAAGCTCATCCAGCCTTAGTAATCACTTCAAGCAGCTCTTTATATGTATTAGTACACCATTCTGACTCATTCGAGTCAGGGAGGAATTATTACTATTATTTTTGTGTGTTTTTTCTTTCATTTTTTCCTTTTTGGCTTTCCATAGCGGAAGGAGGAGTTACGACGTGAACTCCAAAATCCAGCAGAGAGCCGGACACGGAAGACGGAGCAAGAGATAGAGCAGCACTCGTCTCCGGCTCCTCTTCCGGATCCATAAGAGACCCCCCGGACCTGAGATGGCTAACTACCTCGGCAGCGGCTGGCCCAGATCAGAGAGGCTCTGAAACTCAACTCACTTCGTCTTCTGAGAAGAGAGTGAGTCGCAAGCAAGCAGAGCTACCTGATTTAGGCGTTAGAATGCGCATATTCTCGAGGCTTCCATCGCATGCATTTTCCTAGACACTTCACACAGAAAGTGTGCACTACTCCCCGTGATGAAACGGGAGCAAGCCGTAACTCGCTTCCTGAATTCTCTCACTCATATTTTTCTCTCTCGCTCATTCCTTTTTTTCTTCTCTTCTTTTTTTTCTCAAGTTTAATTTTTATTGAACATTTCTGCTGAAAACTTCTGACGAACATTTCTACAGAACATTTCTACATTTCTACTGAACATTTCTGCTGAGCATTTCTGCTACACGTTTCTAATGACCATTTTCTGCTGAACATTTCTAATGAACATCCCTTCTTCTCTTCTTTATTTAAAGGGATAGAAATCTTCTGAGATTTTGAACAAAGATAAAGAGAAAATGATCGAAACAACCAACGTGCAGTCTCGCTGAAGATAATAAGGCTGATGGCGCGGTTCACAGGTGCCATATTTATATCACACGACGTTCTTAATTGCCACGTCACTTGATCATGGCAGGCCTATAAATAGAGGCATAATTTTACACAAACTTCAGATACCGGTTGTACGTGCAAGGGCTATCCCATACTGTTATGCTAAACGCAACATTGAGTTCCCTTTGAAAGGGAATGACGCTTTACAATAGCATGGGTGAAAGTTTTTGTAATCTTCTGGCAAACTGGTTGGCACCTCAAGAGGGCAAGACAAGACCATGCACAAACACTTCTGACCAAGTGCGGTTGACCAAGAAGATCAAATGCATGGAAAAGATTTGCTGCTGAGTCTTAAGCTGTTAGGATCAAAAAGACCAACTCCATGCCCATGATTCTCTCCTAGAAATGAGTGTGATGCTCTCTCCAGATGAGAGTCTGTGTTCCTGGTGTAATAGTTTAAATATCACAGCATTTTATTCACAAGTGAAGGAAATAGAAATTGATAAACAAGATTGACCAACTAATCAGGTCAGTGGCAGCAGTGTTCGAGCCTATATTGGTCTGGGTGATGAAGCAGCAGTTCAGTTTGTGGATGAAGGACTCTGTTTACTGGTCAATCTATGTCCTGATCAAGAGTGAGCATGGTTGAGTCACGTAATATAGGTAACTATAGTATTTAAATTAATGGAGTTTTATTAGGTGTACTTGAGTTGTGCAGCGGTAACATGCAGGTTTAGTATGCCAGTGACCAGGGTTTGAGTCTCAGCTTAGGTTAGGGTTTTTGTAAATGAGCAGGGTTTTTTTTCACTGCAGAAAAATTCCTCAAGGTAACATTGAATGAATTACATCTTCTCCTTTTTTGCCTATGGAAACGTTTGTTCTTTTCTTAGATTAAAAATTTTACTATTTAAAAACTGGTTTAAAGTGAACACAGAAGTCCACACACTGAGAAAAAGCTCACTGAATTTATTTAATTAAAATTTATCAAATGTGTTGATACAGAAAGAGCATATTCACATGGCGATTTACATATACTGATTATCACGGATACTCAGAGGTGGGTAGTAACTCGTTACATTTATTATTATTATTAGAAAATGTTGTTGGCATTAAGGGAGCAGTCCTCTCCTGGCTCATGTCTTATTTGACCGATCGTTATCAGTTCGTACATGTAAATGGAGACTTCTCCACGCATACCGAGGTTAATTTTGGTGTTCCACAAGGTTCTGTTTTAGACTGCTTTTTACTTTACATATGCTACCTCTAGGTCAAATTATTCGTAAACATGGAATTAGCTTCCACTGTTATGCTGATGATATACTGTTGTATGTTTCAGCGAAACCAGAGAACAGACAGAAGCTTAATAAAGTTGAGGATTGTGTAAAGGACATTAGAAGTTGGATGCTAACTAACTTCCTTTTACTTAATTCTGATAAGACAGAAGTACTTGCATTTGGATCATGTGTAACTAGAAGTAAGCTTTCTGGTCACATAGTAACTCTGGATGGACTTTTTGTTTCATCATGTGCAGCAGTAAAAAACATTATAGTAATTAATGACTCCAGTCTATCATTTGATGCTCATGTAGATAATATTACTAGGATAGCCTTCTTACATCTCAGAAATATTTCTAAGATAAGAAATATATTGTCACTACATGATGCAGAAATATTAGTTCATGCTTTCGTTACCTCTAGACTAGATTACTGTAATGTCTTACTGTCTGGATGTTCAAGTAGGTGCATAAACAAACTCCAGTTAGTCCAGAATGCAGCTGCTAGAGTCTTCACTAAAACCAGAAGATAAGACCACATCACCCCGATCTTATCCACATTGCATTGGCTCCCAGTGAAATCTCGCATTGATTATAAAATACTATTATTAACCTTATAGACCATTAAATAGTCTCATGCCACAGTATCTAAGCAAAATTTTGTTTTTCTATGATCTGCAATGCCTGCTTAGATCAAAATATGCAGGCTATTTGACGGTACCTGGAATAGTGAAGGCCACAGCAGGGGGGAAGAGCTTTCTCTTATAGAGCCCCACAGTTATGGAACAGTCTTCCAATTAATGTTCGGGACTCGGCCACAGTCTCAGTGTTTAAGTCTATGCTTAAAACGTATTTGTTTATTCAAGCCTACCCTGACTAGACTTTCTGTTACGCTAAGCACAGTCCTAATAATCTTTTCTCTCCCTCTCTCCTTCTGTCAAGCCACATATGATTTTATGGAGATACTAGAGATCCTGATCTTTTGCTGCTCTCCGTACCTGCCTGATCCGTGTCAGATGCCCTACCTCTGGATGGAGCTCTCATCTACTCCAATTCCAGACTGCTGGGATTACGACTGCTTCCAAGGCTAAACAAACTTCATATAAAACCATAATTAACTGTTTCACACTATCTGTTGTTCCCCAGATGAGGATGGGTTCCCTTTTGAGTCTGGTTCCTCTCAAGGTTTCTTCCTCTTAACATCTTATGGAGTTTTTCCTTGACATCGTCGCCACCGGCTTGCTCAATTGGGATAAATTCGCACTTTTAATATCTGTATACTGTGTTTATATATTTCTGTAAAGCTGCTTTGAGACAATGTCTGTTGTAAAAAGCACTATATAAATAAAATTAAGTTGAATTGAACTTCTGTAAACTTTTGGGGGGAAAAAAACTTTTTTAACTGGCCATACTTATACTCTTAATCAAGTTCATTTTTATCACAGAAATCTTTTACTTCACTACATTCGGTGCCATTCCTCCGTTACTGTTAAATATGAATGAATGAATTTCATTTTAATAATTAATTTAAATGGTGTATAATGAGGTTGTGAGCCTCGTGATACGCTGCAGTGGTCTGACACAATACCTGCTTGCTGTGGAGTACTTCACCCAGCTCGGCTTCGCATTGCATGTGGCGGTGTCCAGGGGGACTTTGTTTCAGCGGAGGAGGCAGGAAACTACGCTAAAATCTTAATACCGGGTTGAACTAAATCACCTTCATAGTGTAGTGTTTTTTTTATTAATTAATTTATTTTGATTTATTTATTTTTATTTTATTCTTTATTCTTTTTTTGCACTCGGCCATCCAGCTCTACATAATTCGAATTCCTATTGAAGATATTGTCGGTGCATTACTTCGTCTTGTCACGGAACATAGTCGGGAGTCGGATGCAGGTGCAGGTCACAGATTTTATTCAAAAACACCGACTTATACAGACGCGTTCTTCTCATAAACACAGGGAACGTAGTATGTAGCACAAACATACGACCGTGATAACGTGTCAAACACAACCCGGAACATCAACTCATACAAACATATACCAACATAATCAAGAGCCAGGTGCTCAGAAACTAAGGCACTTAAATAACGAACATAATCACACTGAAAATACACACACCTGTGATCATTAACTCTAATGCTCCCGCTAACCCGGAAGTGCGCCAACCAAAACCAAGTCCGTCAATCTCAAAAGAGCACCACAGTGACTTCCGTCGGCTGTGGCGTTACACGTCTACAATTCGTGGACTCGCTCCTTTTAAATCTACTTCTGTATTAATGTGCTTCTCTGTTTTGACGCTCTGACTGGGTTAGAGTTTATTTAATTTTATTGTTATTTATTTATTTATTTATTTTTTAAATTGTTTTTAAGTGCTACACTGTAATATTATTAGTTATAAGTCTTTAAAAGGTATGGACATTATATTTGTTAAAGTGTGCAGATTATTTATTGGATTTTAAGTCAGTAGGGGACGTTTCTCTTTCTGGAATTTTTTTTTTGTTTAGGTAATTTTGTTTAGCTTACTCTTTACTCTTTTAATTTTTTTCTGTTTTTTTCTCCCTTCTCAATGAAATATTTGGGAAAGGTAAGGGAGGAGAGAAAAGGTAAATGAAACACATGTAAATTAATCACATGAAAATTAATCACATGTAAATGCATGTGTAAATACTCTAATGCAAAGACAGGCGTTGTTGTAAATGTATATGCTCCAAAGTTTGATGATGTGGAATTTAGATAGAATTAGAATTTAAATAGACTGTTGAGCAATCTCCCTTTTTTAAATACTCACCTGTTGATTTTCGATGGAGATTTAAATTGTGTAATTGACCCAAACTTGGATCGGTCTAATCCCCGTACTCTGAATCAATCTGCAATGATGGAGTTACTGACACTTCCCACTTAAATTTTTGTGCCTGTTCTTGGGTTTTATGAATTTTATATAACCAGCGACAGTTATTGAGTAGCCATGATGAGCCGGTTGGGTACTTTTTTTTGTTGTTTTTTTCTTCTCAGTGAAATATTTGGGAAAGGGAAGGGAGGAGAGAAAAGGTAAATGAATCACATGAAAATGAATCGCATGTAAATGAATCACATGTAAATGAATAAATAAATTAAAACGAGAATGTTAAAAAAAAGTCTAATGTGTGCTATGATTTGGGACATCATGGGATCATGGTCTGCAAACAACAGTCATTAGAAATTCGCCTTACATTAAATTCCCAGGAGAAACTTTCCTCATCCAAGTCTCATATGGTGTGACAAATGACAGATAAACATGTTTGTTAGAGACTCAGGGCACTCGTCCAGTGTGAGGGACTTCAGTCCATTAATCTCTCTGGGAGCTTGGGCCAATTTCCCCAAGCTCCAATTACAGCACATTAACACAACACTCATAATTAAACCTCTTTAGGGTTAATACTTTGGAAATGATTTTAATATAACTGAGTTGGTATAACTGTGAAAAATAAAAAATAACTGAGGTCTTCAAATTTTAAACAAAAATTTCATTTGATGCATTTTCAATCATATTATGTGATTTTGAATATTGCCGTTTTAATTTGAAACCGTTATAGCGTCAACTGTTTGAAGCAGCGTCAAGCAAGAAGCAGCGTCCTTCGAGCTGACGCTATTATACTAATTCTTCTAATCTCTATACGTAAAAATTATTTACCTTATACAACTATAACTGACACTACTTTAGATAAAACAATCGTAACGTTGCACTGTCGCTAAATTTGATCCGTTCATACAAACATACGCGACTAGCTTGGAGCCCACTAGCATCACCTTACCGCTAGTCTCGTTTATGTTTCACATCTCTCATTTACCGCTGTTTTGTTTAAAAAGCAAATATGTCTGCTGTTTCTCCAGTTTTGAGTGCAGATGAGGACTCAATTGAGCTTTAATGTGTTTAACGGAAACTTGGATTAATCCAAATGAGTACATAGCATTAAACGAAGCCAGTCCTCCTGGATACAGTTATGTACATCAGCCTCGTTCACTGGTAGAGGAGGAGTTGTTGGTCTCATCCATAGTTGAAATATAGGCGTCACACAAAAACCTAGTCATAAATTAAATTCTTTTGAAGTTCTTTATACTGGTATAACTTATGTAGCCACAAAAAATAAGTCAATTCCTCTATTTATTATTTACAGACCCCCAGGGCCATGTACTGAATTTCTTAGTGAATTTGCAGACTTTATCTCAAACCTGGTTGTGTCTGTAGATAAAGCATTAATCGTCTGTGATTTAAATATTCATTTTGATAACCCGGAAGACCCTCTGAGAACAGCGGTTGTTTCCATCTTAGATTCAGTAATCAGAACGTAATTAATCAGAACGTAATTCTCTCCTCTTTTTCCAATAGCATCTCCATTGCTAAAGCCACATATTACCAAGAGAAGGTTGGTAGTTCTCCTAACACCCGCATTCTCTTCAAAACCTTTTCCTCTCTTCTTTGTCCCCCTCCTCCCCCTTCCCCTACCTCTCTCACTGCCGAT